ACATATCTTTCAGATGATCAAAAGATAAAAATTATTGTTTGTCGTGTCCAGTTGACGAGCAAAGTTCCCATATCTTCACTGTTCCATCATCACAGGCAGATGCAAGACGCCTGCTCTCCTGTCACGTTATAAAACCCGATCGATTATACATCAAATGTTTCACGGCAAGAATATATAGGAACTAATTTACAGTAATTCGAAAATCTTGAGGAAAATCAGCAAAGAAGACCTCAAAAGCTCTTCTGCCTTTATTTTTGTCTACTTCATCTCGAAAGGAACATTCCCAAATCTATGGTAAATGTGCCTTTTCCACATTCGTTCTTCATTTACATACTAGTACAGAACCCGTGCGATGCACGGGGTACACAATTTTAAGGTCATTTATCCAACCTTATAATTATATAAATGAATAAAAAATGTACAGGATATATATAGTACGGGACCAGTGCCGAGACACGGGATATATTTATTTGGGGAATATTATATTATAAGATGCAATATTCAATAAAAGTTTTATAGTACGCAGGAAAATTATACAATAAAATAGTATCCGACAAAAAAAATCATATATTATTAAAAATCTTCTTGTACATAGATATTAAATAATTTATTAGTAAAATAGTGTATAAGTTGATTACAATAACAAAACAACATGCTCACGGGATTAGTAAAAATATTCCATGGATTGAAGATTTAATGGAATTAAACATTTAAATTAATTAATTTAGATAATTTAAATTAGATAATTCAAAAGCCTTCCAACATTGTTTTGACTTTAATATTTTACAGCATGTGTATACTTTAAATATATTAATATTTAAGAAATTTTAAACAACATAATTTTTAAAAAATTATTTTAGGGAACTTTAAACAGCATATTTACGCCACTCATAAAATAGATTATATTTCAACATCAGAGTTATAGTATTATTTAAGGAACTTGAAACAACATTGTTAAATATTTACGTCCACCCATAATTTTTTTACAAGTAAAAGGTAATTAATCTCGTTCTTTTTTTTATTTGTTTGTTTGTTCAATTTTTTTGACAAAACTGATTTCATGGATAAAAAAATTAATATTAAATAAATTAATTAATTAATATAAAATAATATGCTTTAGACAGATATAGGATGCAGATAATCCGCTCATACCAAACAACGCGATTTCAAAATTTACTCAGATCCAGCAATCCTATCCAATATTTAATATAAATAAATATTAAATAAAATGCTTTAAACAGAAAATAGATAAGGAATTTTGAATCTACTTTTTTTAGTATAAATAGACTTTACGTACATTTTTGACTTCACCGATTACGGGATTTGTTTTGACTAAATCGATGTTATTATGGAATAAGACAAATAAATATAGTCTTTTTTTATTTTAGTAAATATTTTACATACTTTTTTTTACTTATCGGATGTTATGGGATTTTTTTTAAGCCGGTTTTTATTTTAGTAAATTTTTTAAAGAATAACTAATATAATTTTATTATCTAACCATCAATAAAATCATTAAATGATATGGTCATTATCTTTTAAATGATAAATAATATTATTTTTTTAAAAAAAAATTCGTTTTATATAATTTAATAAAGGTTAAAAAATATTACTCGGAAAATATTAATTATAATGGATATCAGTAAAATCATTGCATAAATTATTTAAAGGAAAAATCTTTAAGATCATATCTAGATAGTAAATGTAAATATTCAAGCATTTAATGCATATAGTAAAAAATTTCTAAATAAGGTATGCATTAAATGTGTGTTGACTTTTCTTGCTACTATTTTTGGTAAATAGGTTGGCTTTTAATATATATATAGATTTGTCACTGCATTCACCAAGCGAGAGTATCTCTTTGGAAAATACGAGACGTTTGTTACACTTCTCACATGGTTTAATAATTAGTCAGGAGACAATAGACTACTTTGCAAGGTAAGTTTTCTGTTCATGGCTTTGGCATAATATTATCTATAATCGCCACCCAGGAATTTAGTGCCCACCAGAATTAACCAATTAAATATTATGATTTGCGTGCCTCAATGCATTATAAAATTGCTTTCGAGTTGTAATTAAATATTTACCACGGAACTCCATTGCACAGCATTTACATCCACATTATGTGCCTTCTCTTTCTTCAGAAGCAATTTGTATGCAGGCCCATCAACCTACAGTAAGTACAACAAGAACAAACATATAATAATGTTTGAACATAAAGAACTGCTTCAATTAATTTACAAGAGCAACATATATGCTTCCAGCAATGCCGAAGTTTTACGAGAAGAAGTTTCAAAGAAATTACATAGCCATGTTGAGGTTAGGTTTATATATAAGCATAAATTTCTTTCCTTTTCTGATTTGTCCAGGACATAACTGCAGCTGCTATGCTACGTAATGACTAAGTTGCTCACCAATTAGTCATATTACGACTATAAACAAAGGCACTCGAATGTTGTATATGATGATGACTGAAAAAAATTAGACATTTAAAATGCTTTATGCATTAAACTTGAATGTGAAATATGGAAATGGAAACACACAGAACGAATATTAAAAACCACTACAAACCATACCAGGTCATCTTCATTCTCAACAAATAGGCGTATGGCATCATCAGCTGCACCAGTGGAAATTATTCCCTCCCTGCAATTATGAACGCCACAAATCAAAATGAAAAAACAGCAAATCTAGTACATTCCACAAGAGGAAATGGGAGAACAGACAGATATTAATAATACCCAAAATTTAATCAGGTTTCCCAAATACATCAAAAATGAAAAAGAGAATGAGAACTAAAGGAATAAGAAGTCTTCAAACCTGGACCAGTGGATGGAAAAAATAGTTCGGTCGTGATAACCAGAGAGAGTACAGAGATGCGTCCTGGAAAAAGGCAAACAAGGACATATGATCAGCTCATACGGCAAGTGAAGTACATGGAAAATAACACTTCAAAACGCTTCTAATTCACCAAATATGTGTCCACCACCTAAAAAGCGACACACAAAAAACCAACCTCTACTGTGCGTGCTTTTTACGTATTAGCTACTTATGCTCACATTTGAAAAAAAAAATGTCACCTTCTTACATCTCAATTCTCATCAGAGCGAACAAAATTCTATAATAATAAGTCTAGACCTTATCCTTATTTTTTTGCGTAATTGCGTATTAAAAAAAAAAAAGGGAAAACTAGAAAATTAAGAAAAGAAAATCTTGAGCTGTAGCAACGAAAAAAAAAAAAAGATCAACCTAACGTAAAGATGTGTAGCTCACCAAGGTGCAATGCCATCTCCAGAATGTGCCTTCACGATGTCACATTTCCATATCTTAACGGTGAGATCATCACTACAATATCAAATTTACTGATGATCTTAGTGTCATAATTGACCTCATAGTCATGGCAATAACATTAATTGTTGCTGGCACTACTTAATTATTAATAGTCAACTAAAATCTCCAAATTAATGTTTAACTTGAGCGAAGCAAACATAAAGAGAGTTATGACATACCTGCAGGAAACCATCTTGTCTCCACTGGTATTAAAAGATAAGGACCAGACTGTAGATGTATGTCCGCTTGAGAGATGAAAAAAAAAAGGTTAGATTAAGAAAAGATTACATGATTTCATTAAGCATATTAGGTACATAATAAACTATCCATTGAAGGAAGCTATAGAACCTAGTGAGGCATATATGTACAAAAAAAAAACATGGGAAATAAAACACATTGAGATGTTTGCAAGATAATGTGAGAGAACTGTTAATTTCATGTAAATAAGATAAAGTTATGCAACTTATTGGATTTATTTAACTTCACTTGATGATCACTGACAATATCCACCTGAAATGATCTAAGAAAAGATAACTCAATTAATTAAGAGATGTCAACTAATAGAAACTCCTGATTATCTACAGCCCATTACAAATATACGATCAGCTAAAGGAACAAAAATTCACATTTAACATAGAAATTTGAGGGAGGGAAACCAAATATATCTGAGAAGATATTTCTAGTTTGTTTCCATTAGTGATGTACTGCAAAATGTAGCAGGGTCCAGGCTTAAGCGGCATGCAAGGGTTCTAGAACATTACTGGAGGAGCAAAAAAGGGTTAAAAACAAAGTATATGACCAAGACTTAGTGAGTTCTGACCTGAATACTTTAGTTGACAATTCTTATTCTTCAGCCTAGACACAACTTCCCACTAGCTTGGGCAAAAATGATCTGAATGTATATCTTAAACCAAAATTGAAAAATTAAGTAACTATCAACAACTCAATGAGCCACATGCATGATTTAACCAATTAATGTATGATAATATTCATGTATCAGAAAATCACTGGTACTAGACATCATAAGAACTTTACATTTAAAAAGAAAAAGCTTTGCTGCTAAGCATAAGTATTCATCATTTATATTCGAACATAGTAAATGGAGTATAAACTACCTGTTGGATTCATTTAAAGTTTGTACACAATGCCAATCATCATTGTCTCCATCACCCGCCCAGACCTACAAAGGTTAGATGAGTTTATATTGTAACATATCTGAATCTATAACCAAGACCCCCTACCAAGCTTAGCCCACTATATTTTTTCAGTTTAGTGCAAATATTGTTTTTCCCCTCTAAAATTTGCTAAAATTGGGGTGTTCCGGGGCTACGTGTGCAACCCCCTAACCAAGCCCCTGGCTGAATAGATAGAGTGAAAAAGACTTTACAGACCCTCAAATATCTAACAAGACCCAAGTACTATTTATCCTCCAAACTTCAAAGTACCTTGATTGCATTGTCATAGCTGCATGAGAACAGAATATCCATTGAAGGATGCCATTGCACCATTTTGACATCCTGTGTGTGTCCTTGTAAAACTGAAACACATTCAAACTCGTTATGGGGTAATACTTCCCATATCCAAACTGATTTGTCTCGACCACAAGTCGCGAGCAACGATCCAGATGCATTCCAGGAGACGCTTTTAACTTCATTCTCATGACCCTAGATGTCATAATACATGTTTCCTCAGCAAATTAAGCTTAACTTAAGCAACTATTGAATCAACATCACGTCCATTGCTCACCATAAAATACACACAACATTTAAAACAGCATATATCGTTACTAACTATATGTTCTTTCAAAAAAAAAAAAGAAAATTTAATGAAAAGGAAAAGCACCTCTAGAGTGGAAACACAGGAAAATTCGCCATCAACATCTTCCCATATTGCAGTGGTGCCATCAAAACTTGCTGACGCCAACAATTTGCCCGAGGGCGACCAAGCACAAGATCTAACAGTCCTAGTATGAGTATCCTCCAAAACTGCCTGTTAAAAAACAATCATTTTTAGTGCCAACGGCGTATCCAACCAAACCTACTGAATTTTTCCTATAAACTTCATGACCGCAAAACATAAGATCAAATGTAAACCAACACAAAGGAAGCCAATAACAGTAATAATAATAATTGAAACCTTGCACTGGAAAGATCCGGTAAGGGGGCTTTGCTCCCAGATGCGGATAGTTTTATCTCCGCTGCAAGAAGCGAGCACGGCGGGGACACCGTCGGCTCCGGTTGCCGGTTTCCAGGCGACGTTCCAAACCTTATCGGCGTGACCTTCGAGTTGCTGAACTTCTCTCAGCTCAAAATCCACATCCGAAAAATTCATCGTTCAACCGGCTCAACCAGCTGATGATCGGAGGTTCGCAAGCAAGTGTCGGGCTTTCAGGGCAGCAGAGCTCGCAAGTGAGATACACGCGCCGCCGCTGTAGTTGGTGTTGAAATGAGATAGAGTGTGCTGGACTCGTGCCAAACGAAAAATCGCGGCGGCCTTTTATAGCAATCGGGGATTCGGGAACAAGTAGTAGGAAATTTTTGTAGATAGGCCCCTGTAATGTGCATAATTCTGATTTGGACCCCGCTTGTTTTAGCGAAATTGAGTTTTGAACTTTTGACAATTGACAAACACGAGTACATACATGACTGTGGGATAGCTATAATTTTATTTATTTATGTCGCTGCCGTTGCCCATAACGAACTATTTTCATACTTTTAGTTAGGTCATTGTCACTCCTATGATTTTATGTAAAGGGTTGAACATATTAAAATATTGAGAATGGTATTATTAATGGTTAATGGAGTTATTAAATAGCTCCCAGGGCGTGAGGGCAACTGGCTGATGGAGGAGAAGTAAAGCCTTGTTGATGCCAGATGTCAGGAGTTCGATCCTTCGATCCTGACTATCGTGGGAGTAGTGAATGGGGCACTGCTACTTTCTTGGGTGGATTAGTCCCACCCTGTGGGCGTGGATCCCATAGCCTGTTAGGGCCACGGACCTGGATAGGCCCACACCCCCCGGGTAGGGCTCGACGAGTGGCTTGGGAGTTCGTGGTGAGACCCCGAATTGAATGTGGGGATACCACCCAGTTGAAAAAAAAAATGGAGTTATTAAATAACTTGATTGATTGGTATAATTACACCCAATAAACATATATCTTCTTGTATTGAAAGTAGGAGTGTAAGGGGGCAATCGGATATAGTTTCAATAGTAAAAAAATTAATCAAAACTCAAATTTAACTCAACTTTAACACAACCTCACTATCTCCAATATTATCAATATAATTAAATAATATCAATCAATCATTCTTACACATCACATCAACGTTAATTCACTATTCATTCACTCACATAATTTTAACTAACTATCACTCACAATCATTTTTCTCCTACTTTACATCAAATCAGCTTTAATTATTTTATTTAAATATTATTTTAATATATCTACTACCAATTAATTATACTACATTTTCTCAAAATTAGCTATAATTAAAAAATAAACCAAATAAAAACAAGTTGAATCCATAAATAATCACACCCTAAAAAATTGAGTTATGAAACATTATAGAATAATTAATATATTGGGTTTTAAAAAGCCTAGTCTAACTCGACTCATTAACTAAACAAGTCGTCTGTCTGACAGTAACAATCAGAATCAAACTCACGAACAACTTAACTCTAATTGAAAGGATTGCTTGGTATAACTCTAATTGACACGATCTAGCATGACACGATACGATTTGACACGAAGAAAATATATAAATTGGTGTGATGCTACCGATTAATGAACGGTGACACACTTCACAAAATGTTTATTATTAGTATACAGAATAGGTCTAATACTTCTACAGAAATTCTACGTGTATGACAAATCGACAGAAGTAGCATGAGCAAGCACTTACAGCACCAGGGCATGTTTTCCCAGTTTCTGCTCATACAATAATCAAAAGAATCAAACATCCAAAATCATTTACTGATATTCTTTTTCTCTGTCGTTTTTTTTTTCCCAGTCATGATCGAACACGGACAAATCTTGATACGAGAATAACATTATAACGAATCTTGGTTAGCGATCTTCTTGGCTCTGTGGAAACGTGTATATTTCTACTTCACCATAAAAGAGCTTTTACAGCTACATCCACCCACTGCACTTGGATTTGTTGACACCTGCATTATATATATTAACCCTTTCAAACCAAAAAGAAAAAGAAAAAATATGACAGAAAAAATTTACCAAGTAGAGTATTTACAAAATTGTTTTGGGTCCAATAGTTATTAGTGAGGTACTAGTTGTACTACAAGCATATATGACTCTGGCATATTGGAATCAAAAAAAGCAGAGCAAACAGACGAGAATGAAACCCACTGAAGGAACCGTGACACACATATTTGAGGAAAAAATTAAAATCACATCCTGATTTTGATGTAGCAGATGGAAAGAGCAAAATTACATGAACTATTAACTTTTCATATGATGTACACATCAGAAGGCGCCTCATGGTCATTGTAAAATAAGAAAAGCAGAGAAGATAAACACAGGTTACAACAAATTTGCTTCAACAGTTAATATAACCTGGCCAACATGTCGAATAGAAGCAAAATAAATGTATTAATTAGGGAGCAAGAACTTTAAGTTTAGGCCACCAAGATGCTTCATAACAACAAATGCAGTTATAAATTATTTAGGCCACCAAACTAGTCGAATAATTGAGGTTGCTACAATTATTATCCTTATTTTAAAAAGGATATGATGAACGATTATTCACAGCGGATAGAAGCAGCATAATTTCACAAGTAGGTAATTTGATCAGACACAACATACCTTCACTCATATGCTTACTAGCAGTCACGAGTTAAGCACTAATAACCGACAATTCATAGTTACGCTACTTTTTCTGCGTTTACAATCCTCTACATAATAGATCAAAGGAACTCTCGATGGTTTGACACGGACTTTTTCTCCTTTACTTTTACAAGTGGCAGTTTAAGCAGACAAGAGAGTCAAGACGCACTGCTTAACAAACTCAAATGCATTAAATTAAGCAAAAGGATGACAACAAAAGCAATATAACTCCTGGCAATTTTAAAAAATGAAACTGATGTTAGACAGAATTAAGCTGTTGTAGGATGAATATAGCAAATAAACAGAGGTGTTTCAGCTGTAATATGGAAATACAAAGAACCTGAAACTTTCATAGGCCAAGTATGGGTTAAAGAGCAGACGACGAGAAGACTGCAATATGCAACAAACACACTGCGAAAGATACTCATTTCAAGGAAACCAACCTGAAAAGCCGAACGTATAAGTTCCTCAACATAATCAACAGTTGCACCTCTCACAAAGTCGAATGAGATATTATCAACTACTAATTTTACTCCATCCTGCTCAAAAATCCTGCAGAAACCAAGGACAAATAAACGAATTTTCCACGAGACCCAACAAACACCATTAAACTATGAGCATGCAATATTTGCAGCAAAAGTTAAAACAGGTAGGCTTAAAAATTAGGAAATTGAATAACCTGTCCTCAGAATTGGTCTTCTCGTCGAGTGAAAAATTATACTGGAAGCCCGAGCAACCTCCAGCTTCTATACTCAAACGCAGCAACTTCTTACTACTCTCGCCGGCTTGCAACTCTTTCATTCGCTGCATAATATTAGTAAATTGTTGAGTTATGAGCTAGAAATCTGGCTTGATCAATATCATAGTTGCATAACACAATTAGTCATAATAAATGGACTCATAATCAAGAGCGGCCGCATATAAACAGTAGGGGCAGAGGCCTTTGGTGTCCTTTGAATTGGGGTCTATTTTCTTTCTACCATACTATAACATTCAAACAATGATCAATTGATCATAGTATAAGGGGAGTTAAGCAAGTTTGCCTCCACATATAGTTCCTCGAACCAAATTCTCCAAACGAACCAGAGAATCTCAACGTTGAAATCTAGGACCCATATTCTCTAACATTTCTGATTTTACATCCACGTCGAAATATGGCTTTAAACAGACTTCCATACTCGATCGCATAGATATATATAGAATTCTAACAAGGCAAAACTCTTACAAACTTAAGCTATGTCTATATTAATCTTGAATATTTCTAAATCTTGCACTACTCAGGTATTCTTAGGAGCTCGTCAGCGCACTAACTAATCGGGGTATATGCGGGCTTTCCTCTTCGTCAACTCTGGCTTGACCATTTAGAATCTTCATTGAGCTTTAATAAGGCGCACTTAGATAGGCAATTCTTCGCATCAGTAGCTTCGTTTCAGTAGCTCGTAGTGCCAGAGATCAAGAGAGTCGACTCGCTTCATTCGGGATCTTTAACATTTTTTGAGATTTTAAGAATCATGGTATATTCGATCTACAAATACTTAAAACAAGCAAGCATAGTATCGAACCTCACTGCGAATAAACAGACAAATCTCAGAAAATCATAAATGCAATAATTATTCCGTCCAAATATTACGCCCAATGTGAAATTGAAAACAAAGAACTAATAAAAATACTCAAAATTCATTCGGCTTGGCGCAGTTGCCCATCAGATTTAACCAACAGATACTTAAAAAACCACCCAGCATCCAATCCCATGATGTATATACAGATTAACACAGAAAAAATAATCAACGCAAAACTACTCTAAACATTAACCCCCCCCAAAAAAATGAAAAGGCATATGAAAACGAAATTACTCGGACACAGCTGTCGGTCATATGTACGGCGTCCGGCGACGGAGATGAAGACTCAATTGAAGCTAACTGAGGCTCCGGCACGGCGGAGGTTGAGCTGAGAAGCCTCGAATTACGGCGGACCTGGGCAGACAAGTATGGCGCGAGCCGCCGAATTAGCGAGGGGGGCACCGTCGTCATGCCTTCTCTCTCTCTTCTTTCTATTTATTCAGACGTGCAATTCGCCGATCAGGAAACGGTACTAATCAAATAAAATGATGAAGTGGTTTCTGGATTTATAATGGATCTTTTTTTTTTTTCTTTTTATTTACTTTGAATTTTATGTCATGGTGTTAGACATGGCCACGGGCGGCCCGGCCCGTGGCCCGACCCGTGACCCGGTACCGGCCC